GACAGCTGAAGGGGCTTTTCTAATGGGAATACAGTGCCGCAATTGTGAGATTAGCAGTGGTGGTAGATGGTGTTGTGGATTTTTCAGCTTAAGGGGTGGTAGTAAAATTATGTCTCAGCCCCCTGTTGTTTACCACCCCCCCCCCAACTGCAAATGTTAAATAGGCCTTACTAGCATCTATTTAGGAACTGCTCGTGTTGTAATCACCACCAAAAAAATAAATGTGCCTGCATCACATTCACAAGCAAGTAAAATATTCTGTGCTTTTAGGTATTTTTAGGGGAAAAAAACATGCTTGTTTACCACAATACAAAGAAAAACAAATGCAGTAATAAATATAACTGAGCCCTGCTAAGTACAGTATAATCCAATTCAAACAATGCTTTTCAAATCCTACATGAAAAATGAAAAAGTCAGAAGCAAGAAACAAATTCCTTCGTATACAAGCCCTAAAATGTTGAGCAAATATAATATTGATTGAACACTGGGCAAACATTTTCTTGACCTCTCCCCGCTCTGAGACATACAATAAATAGCAGCTAGACTCATGCAGTGATTGCGAGTGGTTGCCAAACATTACAACATATCGTTACTGTGTCAGGGCGGGGCTGTGGAACGTACAGGTAGGCCTAGTGGCTGGGTAACGCACTGGCTGACGACAACCACCACCAACAGACCGAAGTCCCTCAGGGCGCGGAGTCTAAGTCCCAGGCTGCCCTTCACCAGGGCCCCTGATGGTGGGGATGGACTTGACGCGGCCAGGAACCAGGTCGCAGCCCCCGAGACACCCCGGCTGCGGTAATGGCCGCCGCCAATGGCGTGTAGCTGGTGAGAATGACAAAAGCGTAGTCAGGCAAGCCGGGTCGACAACAACGGGACAAAACGGTACAGAACGGTAGACAGAGAATCACAGGTCACGGGCCGGGTTCAGCAACGGAAGGTCAGATCGAAGGAAAACACAGAGAATGGTCTTAATCACAAGCCGAGTCAGATACCAGAAGAGTCACGAGCGTATACACAGAGCTGTAGGAAGACAAAGACACAAGTGCAAAGACCATGTGCGGGCCACAGGCTTATATGTCATCAGCCACACCCCTCTGGGGGATGGACCTCAGAGACCTGAAGGCATAAAAGGATTCCCACCATGCACAGCAGAATCCAAGATGGACGCCAGCACATGGAGTAACAAAACCTCAAGGAAAAGGTAGGACCTTGACATACTGCTCATTGACTGGTTGCTAGAGGTTACTGCACATCCTTACCACTCACTGACGGGTTGCTAGAGGTTACTGCACATTATTACTGATTGGTTACTAGAGGTTACTGCACATTCTTACCACTCAATGATTTGTTGATAGAGGTTACTGCACATACTTACCACTCACTGACTGGTTGGTAGAGTTTACTGCACATTATTACTGCTCACTGGTTGCTTTAGGTTACTGCACATCCTTACCACTTACTGATTTGTTGCTAGAAGTTACTGCACATCGTTACCGCTCACTGACTGGTTGCTAGAGGTTACTGCACATTATTAATGCTCACTGATTGGTTGCTAGAGGTTGTAGCACATCGTTTCTGATTGCAGATTAGTTGTTAGAGGTTATAGCACATCATTACTGCTCATTGATTGGTTGCTAGAGGTTACTGCTTACAATTATCACTCACTGATTGGTTGCTAGAGGTTACAGCACATCCTTATTGCTCACTGATTGGTTGCTAAAGATTCCTGAAAATTATTACTGCTCACTGATTGGTTGCTATATGTTACTGCTTATCATTACCTCTCACTGATTGGTTGCTAGAGGTTATAGAACATCATTATCGCTCGCTGATTGGTTGCTAGAGATTAAAGCAGATCACTACTGTTCATCCCACACCTTTAACACACCTTTAACTTTGTACCCCATCCCACACTTTTACTACCACACCTCTGCAATCACTTTTTCACCATCACCAAATACCCACTTACACAACTCTGCACTCCTTGAGCTCATCTCTGCTAAAAATTGCACTCCCACCGCACATCTCTGACATCATCATGCCCCTTCAAGTAACTCTGTTACCACTGTACCTCCTTGCACACCTCTCCAACTACCCCCCCCAACACACCACTGCCACAACTGCACTCCCACCATACACATCTGCCACTAATGCCCCTCACTCCTGTCCCCCCCCATACCCAATAAAACACCATTGCCAGCACTGTTCCTCCCCACAAACACATCTGCATGCTGTACCCCTTCCCACACCTGCACTCCTATGTCGCCTATGTGCCTCCTGCCACCACTGCACTTCACCTCTCTACCACTGCCATCAATACTCCTCTTGCATACCTCTGTACCTCTAACATATCTCAACCATAATCTTTGTCACCACTGTACCTCTAGCACCATTTTTTTTCCCACCATCCAGGTCATATCAGTGGGGTGTCCTCACTTATATTGTCTGCAATTACTTTGGGACACTCAGTTCACATATCTTATTTTCACAGCCAAAAAGGGGGTAAGACAAGGGCGTGGTTTTCTGCAAGCTCCTTGCAGGGATTGGAGCCTGCCTGCAGACCCACCCACTGTCTCCCCACAGTGAAAGAGATCCGATACTAATGTCAGGAGTCAGGCCTCAGTGTTCAGTCACCATGGTGACCAGGAGAAACAGTAAGGAGACTTACTGCGCATAAAAAAAATTGGGAACCAGCCTGCTGGGACACAGACATCCCGGGACAATGGACAAATTAGTGGAACCGTCCCGAGAGTGTTGGTGAGTATGCTGTTTTCAGGCAGTGCGGGCTCAAGGGGCAGCTGCTTTGTGCTGCACAACGACTCAATGAATGGGCACAGGGCAGCTGCTCCTTTTGCCCCCACATTAAAGACAGCCTTGGGTTTATTTGTAAAGAAATCTACAATATTAGGCAAAGGCATGAACTGTCTAGAACTTGTACTTGAATTTGGCTCATGCTGCACCACTTTTAGAATGCATAACAGACACTTTTGCAAAAGCTGTGAAAGTTGGTCTTAATTAGCTCCATTTTCGTAAGCTATGAATTGTCTGTTTTTTATTTCAACTTTGGCACATTTATTGGGCCACAATGTAAAAGTGGCATATTTTAGAACTACCTGAATTTAGTGCACAAGTCGCTGTCAAAACCAAAAGTATCACAGATGCTTCATGAATCTGGTGCAATACAATAACAAAAAAGATTCACGCCAGAAAAGTGGCACAGCAGCTTTACTGAATTCAGATTAAAATTATTCTAAATGTTCAGGTTTTTTTTTTTAATGACAAACATGTTATATTTACCTGCTCTGTTCAATGGTTTTTTTCACAGAGCAGCCTCCTCAGGTCCCCCGCCAGCACTACTGCCCCCACCGAGTACCCACCACCATAGAGTGCACATCATACCAAGCTGCTTGCTATGGGGGCACTTATGTGGGCTCACTCTATATGACACACAGAGCAAGGTTCGGCCCCGCCCCCTCCTCTCTCGCTGTGATAGATAGCAATGGGAGCCAATGGACACCCAGCCAAACGCAACTGCTAGCACATGAGGCAGGGGGCATACCTAGTTGTGTGCTAATACTGATTATATAGGATATGGTCTACCTTTACTGGTGTCCGATAGTTAGCCAAACACTAGTAGTTTTGCTTGAAAATTTGTTGTTTTAAGAACATTTGTTTGATTATCTAATTGTTAGTTGAGTCAAACTGATGTTCATGTTCAACTACAGTGACAAGAAAATTTGAAGGACCAGAATATAATTTTTTTCTGGAAGGAAAAAGAATGAATATGGTTTTCATTTGGGAAAGTCTCTTTGTTCCAAAATGTAATCAAAATCACTTTCATTAGAAAATCTACTCGTGTATGGCCAGGTTCCTGGGGACAGGGATCAAATGGCAGGAAACAGGACTAATGATGAGATGGAGCACCACAGGGTGCCTAGTACATGTATTTCTTTTTCTCTCTCAGCTGACAGGATTGCTTTAATGTTTCCTTATAATGAGGAAGTGTATTTAAATAAAGTTCTGCTGCCAAACAAGAAATCTCAATTATTGAAAAATTGTTGCACATACCAACTTATCAGGTAACCTACATTTTATATAACAGTTGGGAGCCAGTTGATTGTTATGTGCAAAACCTTCACTTTTTTATTTGTGACACCTTTTATTCTTGCATGTGAGTGCCCAACTAAGTGTTGAGCTCTTCAGATAAGAGCATTCAGAGAAATTCACAGTTGATTCTGCATACGAGATTGAAAGAAAATCATATTTTATTTCCAAACTTTATCAAAAAAGCCATTTTTGCAGACTTGTATAAAGTAAAAAAAAAGAAATGGTACAACAAAGAGAAGGGTACAGGGCATTGGTACACACCAGGGGCGGACTGACAACTCATGAGGCCCCCGGGCAATAGGGGATCATGGGGCCCCTGTGTCCTTGCCCAAACTCAAAAAAGCCTATGAAAAAGGTACCAGGGGCATCTCATGGGGCCTCCTACTGACCCCGGGCCCTCGGGCAGTGCCCAAGTTTCCAAATGGTCAGTCCGTCCCTGGTACATACTGTATATAAGAAGATGTTGTCAGGATAACTTAGATGATGAACATGTAAGTACTCATATAGACAATATACATTGTGGGCAATACTGAGATTTTCTACCAAATAGATATTGGAGGGAAGTCAATAAAGCTGCTGCACCTCTTTTCTAGCATTAATCCCTCTTGTTAATGTACAGGGCCCAATTCATGAAGCAATTTCAACACTTTTGGTTCTTACAGTGACTGTGCACCAAATTCAGGTAGTTCTAAAATGTCTCACTTTTACATTGTGGCACAATGAATGCACCAATGTCAAAATAAAATACAGGCAGCTCATATCTTATTAAAGTGGAACTAATTAAAGTGTTACTAAACCCACAACAGTAAAATCAGTCTGTATATGCAGTATACTTGTTATACTCGCTGTGGAACCTAAGGCGTTAATCCACTGCATTGTGTAAATACACTGTTTGATCCTGACTTCTCTGATCCTCCCCTTCTTCCAGTGCCCTCTCTTATCTCCTGATAACACATATCATGTGGAGACACTGGGCACATGCTCAGTTTGGTGTGTATTTTTTTTTCCTTGGAAGAGTGCATGTTTATTTGTTGATCTCCCCATCTGAGGAGGGCTGCATCTCTGGAATGTTATCCATAGGCCATTTATGCATCTGATCCCTTGGCTCTCCCTTGTCATTGGCTCCCTTGAGGTGCTGGAGAGTTCTTACTAGTGCATGTGATCAGCACAGGGCCAATCAGCACTGTCCAGACAGAGGTCAGGGGTTCTGCATCCTCCTAGAGCAAAAAGAAAACTCCTCCTTCAAGCTTTAACCAGTGCTCTGCTGGACACTGATAGAAATCACAAGACTGCTCCAACTTCTGATGAGAAAAGGTAATTAGCAGTATATATTTACAAAAATAATTGCATTTCCATGTTGTGTGTATGGTGGGAGACTAGATAGAGTGAATGCAGGGTCCTGGGTTTAGTAACATCAACTCTCTTTTGGCAAACAGAGAGAGAAACTGGAGCAAATAGATTTTGCAAAAGTGTCTCACATGCTAAAAAGTGGTGCAACGTGTGCAAAATTCAACTACCAGTTCTGGACAGGTACATGAATTTGGCGCATGCTGCACCACTTTCAGAAGTCATATGAAAAGCTTTTTTCCCAAAATCTGTCTACATCAGTCTTTATGAATTCCAGGCAATATCTCCCCCTTAGACTGAATGGTGCCTGCAGTCATTCAGTAGGAGTGGGCTAAATGCGAATTAGAAAGATAGAAAGTAATAAAAGAGGGTAAGCAAACTTTCAATGGAAAGGTAGTAAAGGCTAACAAAAAGATTGGAGAATAGAGAAGAGAAAAGAAAACAAATACATAGAAAACATTTGAGTTAACAAGGGAAGGTGGGAGTTAAATCAAGGAATGAGGAGGTCCAGGCAGTTCTCACCTCATATCAGGTTACATGCAAATTGTTTAGCATTATACATAGTAGACGTGCGATTCTCTTCACTACATATTGAAATCTGGAAGCAATTTGTGTGATTCAGAGATTCGGCTGCATCCCAGTCTCTGAATCACAATAGTAATGAATTTCAACTAATCTGAAATAAATGATAACAAAACCACACATTCATTCTTATTCATTCTTTTCATTCAGATAACATGATGTGATCGTTTGGGCCTCTTGTTATTTTTTTTAATTCTTTTATTTAAACGTTCATAAAATCAATACAACATCATTCATCCAAATAATAGTAACATAAATCAGGAAAATCTTCATAGCAACAAAAACAACCAAAAACCATTTACATAATACCTCCCCCAACCCTTCATATGCATAACTGTCCCACCTCTTCCTCCTCATACAACAACATTTACCACAATAAAAACATTTTCTCTCACAACCACCCAAATTTACACATGCAAAAGTAAACCAATCTTTCCCTTTACCTTATCCCTATAATAACAAAAAACACCTAACACTATCCCACCATGCTTTCCCTTCACTGATTCATCACCCTAAAAAATAAAAGAAATAGATATTAGAACATTAAGATTTTCATAAAAAGAACATCTTAAGACATACCACAGCACCAAAAGAGCACAATATTAGAAACTCATACTTAATTAGCAGACCACTGCTTCCTTTGCCAAATTGCCGAATGGCATAGGCTTTATCTCGCCCCAGCCTCCCAGTATCCGTAGAAGTACAACCTTCCACGGACCATGACCACACATTCTCTTACATCTACCACCTCATTTCTAAAAATCAAAATGTTCCTCATGTCCCACAAACTTTCCTTAACACAATTCACCAGTAACCACAACACTCTCAATTCCTCCTTCCCCAACTTACACATACCATACAACACCATTTCATATGTTAACTTCTTCATTCCAGTCAACCCTTCCACCAAACTTCCCAAGCTACTCCACACTTTTTTCGCAAAACCACATTCCTAAATCTAATGAATCACACTTTCACTTTCACACTTCCCACATCCCTAGTTTGGGTTTTTTTGTTAATGCTTGAAGCATCCAAAATAATGTCACGACATAACAAATGATCCAAATTGATTCTGATCCATTCAATTTTATTCCAGTGAGGGTAGCGTGAATATTCTGAAAAGACTGTTTTTGTATTGGGTTAAACTAGAGAGACCATTCGTTTAATTTGTACATGAGCGGTCCAACAAACAAAGGGAATGGGAAAATTTATTCAACTTAATGATATAATAAATGAATACATATTAATTTGGATTAATTTGTTTTATTGGGATGAGAGTGGGGCGGTAATCTTTGACTCTTTTCATTATCCTAAAAAATGCACTTCATATGAAATGGAAAACATTTTGCAATTACTAGAGTAAGGCATAAAAGTGAAATAAGATGATTCCTACTTTTTGTGTTTGGGTTGGGATGGAGGCAGATCCCTCAGAATCTCTGAATCATAATGAATGAATTTGAAATTCATTTAATTCTATTTATTACCTTTGGTTGCATGCTGCTCCAGTCTACAGTCAGGTCCATAAATATTGGGACATCGACACAATTCTAACATTTTTGGCTCTATACACCACCACAATGGATTTAAAATGAAACAAACAAGATGTGCTTTAACTGCAGACTGTCAGCTTTAATTTGAGGGTATTTACATCCAAATCAGGTGAACGGTGTAGGAATTACAACAGTTTGCATATGTGCCTCCCACTTGTTAAGGGACCAAAAGTAATGGGACAATTGGCTTCTCAGCTGTTCCATGGCCAGGTGTGTGTTATTCCCTCATTATCCCAATTACAATGAGCAGATAAAAGGTCCAGAGTTCATTTAAAGTGTGCTATTTGCATTTGGAATCTGTTGCTGTCAACTCTCAAGATGAGATCCAAAGAGCTGTCACTATCAGTGAAGCAAGCCATCATTAGGCTGAAAAAACAAAACAAACCCATCAGAGAGATAGCAAAAACATTAGGCGTGGCCAAAACAACTGTTTGAAACATTCTTAAAAAGAAGGAACGCACGGGTGAGCTCAGCAACACCAAAAGACCCGGAAGACCATGGAAAACAACTGTGGTGGATGACCGAAGAATTCTTTCCCTGGTGAAGAAAACAGCCTTCACAACAGTTGGCCAGATCAAGAACACTCTCCAGGAGGTAGGTGTATGTGTGTCAAAGTCAACAATCAAGAGAAGACTTCACCAGAGTGAATACAGAGGGTTCACCACAAGATGGAAACCATTGGTGAGCCTCAAAAACAGGAAGGCCAGATTAGAGTTTGCCAAACAGCATCTAAAAAAGCCTTCACAGTTCTGGAACAACATCCTATGGACAGATGAGACCAAGATCAACTTGTACCAGAGTGATGGGAAGAGAAGAGTATGGAGAAGGAAAGGAGCTGTTCATGATCCTAAGCATACCACCTCATCAGTGAAGCATGGTGGTGGTAGTGTCATGGCGTGGGCATGTATGGCTGCCAATGGAACTGGTTCTCTTGTATTTATTGATGATGTGACTGCTGACAAAAGCAGCAGGATGAATTCTGAAGTGTTTCGGGCAATATTATCTGCTCATATTCAGCCAAATGCTTCACAACTCATTGGACGCTGCTTCACAGTGCAGATGGACAATGACCCAAAGCATACTGCAAAAGCAACCAAAGAGTTTTTTAAGGGAAAGAAGTGGAATGTTATGCAATGGCCAAGTCAATCACCTGACCTGAATCCGATTGAGCATGCATTTCACTTGCTGCAGACAAAACTGAAGGGAAAATGCCCAAGAACAAGCAGGAACTGAAGGCAGTTGCAGTAGAGGCCTGGCAGAGCATCACCAGGGATGAAACCCAGCGTCTGGTGATGTCTATGCGTTCCAGACTTCAGGCTGTAATTGACTGCAAAGGATTTGCAACCAAGTATTAAAAAGTGAAAGTTTGATTTATGATTATTATTCTGTCCCATTACTTTTGGTCCCTTAACAAGTGGGAGGCACATATGCAAACTGTTGTAATTCCTACACCGTTCACCTGATTTGGATGTAAATACCCTCAAATTAAAGCTGACAGTCTGCAGTTAAAGCACATCTTGTTTGTTTCATTTCAAATCCATTGTGGTGGTGTATAGAGCCAAAAATGTTAGAATTGTGTCCATGTCCCAATATTTATGGACCTGACTGTATATTGTGCAATCAGCTCATTACATTACTTTTTGTGGGCTGGACTAGCAGGGACATGAGGAGGACATATCTTTAAAAAAAAAAAAGAATAACAAAACTCCTAAAATTGTTAATCGATTTGGTACAACGAATATATACTCTCCTGAAATAATGAATCGTTCCGAAAACAAATCATTCTAAAATAAAAATAAGGACAACAAACAAAATAATTTACTTAAAAAGCAAAGTTGAAATGAAACAAGATTTTCTGTAGTTCACATTTCTACTACATAGGATACTAGGTTAACTGCTGCTAAATAATTAATGGATGGCAACATGTCAGGACAAAGGATGAACTACCAGCAAGTGTTAGAGACTTGTACTTATAGAGTTTTTGAATTTCAACAAGGGAAACAAGGTCCATTGAAAATGGTGACGTGAATCTGATGCAATGGAACTAGGCTCTTCTATTTGAGAGATAAGATTTATTTTATTAATCCTTTTAAAGAATGATGGGAGGTAACTGGGACTTGCGATATAAATGGATCATTGTTTTGGCCACATTACATAGGTAAAAAGAGAGTTTTTTTATATACTTGTGGCAGCCTCCCAAACACTCATGATATGGCCAAATATCAGACCATTGTTGCAGATGAAGTCTCTGCATTTCCTGATAGTGAAGAACCTTGCACATTCTTTCCTACCGTCTGCACAGTCTTATTGGTCAGAGATGCAACTTGTCATAGTGATGGGCCAATAGGATGGAGCAAAGCAAGATTTACCAGCAAGCATTGTCAGAATGGGCCAAAGTTCAGTGGCAAAAAGATTTCGGAAGCTTCTTCAGGTATGTGTAGGCACCTCTAGGTACCTATGCTTTATACCTAGAGCAGTTTAGATTTTTGTTTTATCCTTAGGCTGCATTTAAAGATCTCTATTCCACTCAATGTAGAGGGACAATTTTCCTGAGGGACACATACGTTCACACATATTGGGGTAGATTTACTTAATGCAGCCCCATTACCTATCTAACTGTAATGTCTTCCTTATATACACATTTAAATAAAAGTGGTCTCCTCTGAGGTAAAGGTGCTGTTTTTTGATCAGGTAACCATTAAAGATAAAATGTGTTCCTTGAATCCTGAATATGGTATGCTCTGATATGCCTCCATCCTATACAGTACATGCTCTATTGTTGTATGATGACAATATGCCAAAGGGACATTCTGTTTTTGTATTGTACACTACTTATCTATGAGCAATGTCTGTTCTTTGT